TAAAATATCCCAAATTAATGATAGACTGCAGTCATGAATGCACGTTTCAATAATATTGAACCCCCTTGTCACTTACTGACCCATCATTGAAGTTGTACCACTGACGGTCGGCCGCCCTGACCATGGCCGTGTAGTGGCCTCCGATCATGGTGGGGCCATCATGCTCGATGACTCCAATCAGCCGGTTGGCAGCAGATGGGGCTGCATGTTGAGCAGAGCGGGATAGGCCAGCGCCAAGTGTTTCTTTCGGAGGTTATTGTCAAACCTGTTAAAAGTGCAGTTATGTTTTAGTTGTTTGTCCTCTCATGAAGCTTTAGTTATGGGCAACGGGGGGTGAAAAACGTAAGGTTAGGTTAGATAAAATAAAAGAAAGGAGGGCAATATTTCGTCCGTAACTGTTTCGCTGGCGTTTCGTGAAAGAATTCGACCTGTGTAGACTTACCGGTATAGTTGGATGATCGAATCCAGCGGAGCCACCGCCAGCTTCGTCACTTGCTGTGTGTCGCTGCGCGTGGCTCCGCATGAATCACATCTGCAGTTAACGAGCTCCCTCCGAAAGGCGGCTTGAAGAGATTCGTCCAGGGTGCCAGTCAGCGGTACTTGCACCGTTGAAAAAGAGGTGTACTTTGGATTGTCTGCTTGGCACCCTGGCTGCTGGCAGATTACTGCAACAAAATAAATGCGTCCACATGTGAGAGTCTCGCATTTTAGGCCCTTTCGTGTTAAGAAATTCCATTGTACAAGTTTTGTACGTGGTCTCCATGATCAGCAGAGCTGGATACGCCAGCGGGGTGCTAACCTTTCGAAGGTCATTGTCAAACCTGTTAAAAGTGCAGTTACGTTTTAATCGTTTGTCCTCTCATGAAGCTTAAGTTATGGGCAAAGGGGATGAGTCTCTTCTGTAATGAGAAACAAATGGAATGTAAGAACTTCTTTCAATTGAGTTCAGTCGCCCAGATTTTCGCAGGAAAGCATCCATTCATTCATTAACAATTTAGGTCTTACCTTCCAAACTCCTTCCTTCCCCTGCCGTGTACTCCTTTGTCCTTTGCCATTCTCACAAGTAGATGATTCAAGAACTCAGCTGCATCGTCTTGGACGGTCGGATCCATGTGTGGTGATAAATTGATTTTGGAAGCAATTAAATTTTGCTGCTATAGCTATAGCTCCATAGAACAATGATGGCATTTTCGGTGCGCACAATTTTATTTCAAATATTTCTCTTTCATAATTTAAAATCTCGTGATCGAACGTGGGTGCAGTGCATAGTCCGTGATCCTACGCATCCCAGCCAAGCACTATTTCGCAATGTCGTTAGCAAGGTTCAAACGTTATCGACGTCGAATATTCCGTACAAGTACCTCTTTGAATATTCAGTATCTCTTGGCATGGTGCAAACGAGGAGGACTCTGCACTTCCGCGCTTCAATTGTGGAGCTCTCCACACTTGTCTTCACAGTGTCGGTGCCATTCTGGTCTGTGACCCAGCGTTTCTGAACTTGGACTAAACAAAGCTTTTCCCTTGTCTGTTTCTCCCCAGCGTGCCTGCCAGGGGGGCCGTGCCTGGGGCGGCACACATGCCATGGCATCCGAGGAGGGCTCGGGGCCTGACCCTGATGCGGAGTCTGCGGAGTCCGTCGAGGGCCGCCAGCGCGGCCAGGACGCGGACCCGGAAGCCAGCCAGGAAGCTGGCCAGGATGCTGGCCGAAATGCTGGCCAGGGCGCTCGCCCGGAAGCTGGCCAGGACTCAGTCGCAAGCCAGGACGCAGAAGCAAGCCCGGACGCTAGCCAGGACGCTGACCAAGACGCTGGCCAAGATGCTGGCGAGGAAGCTGACCCGGAGGCTGACCAGCGCCCTCATCAGGATGCTCACCAGGACGCTCATCAGAAAGCTGACCCGGAAACTGACCGAAACGCCAGCAGAAGCGCCAGTAGGAGTGCCAGCAGGAGTGCGAGCAGGAGCGCAAGCGCGAGTGTAGACGCCAGCCCTGACGCCAGCCCTGACGCCAGTCAGGACTCGCACCCTGCTGTCTCGGTGAGTCAATCAATGTTCCTTCTGAACACTCCACACTAATTCCTTATGCACATTTTGTACCCAAGTTCCGCACTATTTTTCTCATGGATGAGCTTCTGCATTATATTGTGCATAACAACGTAAAATATTTTGCATTTTTTTGCAGAAGCTTACATATGTGCAAAATAGTGTGTAACTTACGTACAACAAGTGCATAAGGATTTACTTTGTTTCGTGATCTTTGGAAAAAGAAAGAATGTAGTTCACACTCGTAAATGCCTATGGACTTTTTGTCCATAGCTATTGGCATATTTGCGCCTGTGTAAGCGATGTGCAAATTTGTACATAAATAAGGTACATATTTATAATTATTTAGGCACAATATGGAAATATTTTCTCTAGTTTACGTATTAAATTGTACGTAGCTTACATTCGCGCAAACATGGTAACAGATATGAACAATATAAGTACATAAAAATTTAGTGTACAAACTAGCCTCCCCTAAAAAAGGCAATTCGTGAATTTTTGTTAGGAATTTTCTGACCCCTTGCTTGGCATGTTTAGCACGGCGGCGACGAGGTGGGCGACGACGAGTCGCAGAGCTCTGCCAGCGGCCGGGATCGATTGGACAACGACAAGGACAACGAGGACCTGACCGAGGATGGCGAAGGCGCTGCAAGCAGTGACGAGGACGAAGCCTTCTCGCCGAAAAAGCTGCGAAGTGGCCGCCGGCCGGGCGCGAACCCGGGCACCAGGGCGCGCCGTGGTCTGCGAGGCCGAGGCCTGGGCAAGGACGTCGAGATCAAGCAGGAGGTCGTCAGCGAGGACGAGTCGGAGGACGAGGGAGACCTCGGACTGCGGTTAGGCTTCGGGTACGGAGCGTGTTTTTATTTTGTCCTATGAATCCGTTTGTTTATTTGTCTGGGAGTGTAGTACAGTTTTCTTAAATTCCTTGCAGAATCCTCCAAGACCTGCTGGGTACAAATTCTACTTTTCTGCACTACCCAGAATCGAAAAAAGGAATGGTTGATTACCATGATGTGATAGAGAATCCCATGTGGTTTGAAGAAAGTACGTTTTTGTAGATTTAAAAAAAATAATTCTAAGAAATGTCTTGTGGCAGTTTTTTTAACATGAGCTCTGTCTTTTTCAGTTCAAAGACGCTTTGAAAATAATGAGTACACATCGATAGTTGATTTTGTTAAGGATGTAAGACTTTTGTTATTGAATGAGTATAGGTACTTTGGCCCAAATGAAGTGAGAACAAAGCGAGCACTTCGAATTGAACAAGTTTTAGAATATAAATTAGCTGGTTTACCAAAGTAAGTACTGTCGTTTCTCAATGAATCTAGTTTTAGAGCTAGTCTCTTGCTACTTTTTTAATGTGATCTGTTGTTCTTTTGTTGTCATAGGGACCTGAAACCTCTATGTTCATTGATGGCAACTCATGGCATTGAAACAAATGAAGGTGATGAGGATGGACCAATCTTGCGTAAAAGTAATATTTTTTTTCGCTCCACTGTATTTACAGTTAGCTGTATTTTACAAGTTTTGAAACATTGTATAACGTATGTGCTCATTCCCTCATCCCTCAGCTGGTGACTTCACATCGCACCTTCTTGCAAGTGTATCCGGAGAAAGAGCAGAGAGAGAAAAACGAAAGAAGGACACTCTCAATGAAATCAGACAGTTGGACAAGGAAGGTATAGGCAAAGATATATTGAAGTGGGAAGTCGAGGTTCTACTTGCTCCACCATTCATCACTCAAATGAGGACCTTGTGGGAGGTATGTCCTGAGGTGTCACCTGAGGTGTCATCATTCTCTGATGACAATGTCTCATGTCAATTTTGTTTTGGTCTGTAATGCCAATGATGATATCTTTGCCTCACAGCTTCCCCTCATCGGCCATCTCATTCAACTAACAGTGCAAGTTCTCTGCATAGAGCAAGTACCACAGTATGAAGTTGAGCGCATGTTTCTGATGCCTCAAGCATCTAAAAGTCTTGCCATTCTTATGACTTCCCTTCTGAGGTTTGTAATATTTTGGCTAGACCTGGTATTCCCAAGACTTGAAACCTGATTTATTTTAATTTTCCTGTATTTCAGCTCACCAATTCAGAGACCTAAACTTCAACATCTTCCACCAATGCCCTATTCTTTATGGAGCAGAAAACTTGCACAAAGAGTAGCTGTGTGGTACAAAATGTTTCAGACAAGGAATCAAGATTGGTCCAAGGTCAGTCTAAGTAATTATAATACACAAATAAATAGTAAATATAAATGTTGACCCATCTTGTAAGTATGGGTTTATGTAGTGCCAAGTATAATGGCTCACTTTGTCTTTCTAGATATTTGAATTGTGTGGCATTGAGAAAGACTTCTGGAGCATTTTGGGTGACTGGAATCAGTTAGAAGATTACGAGTTCCATGAACTCAGCTTTCATCAACGAGTTTGGCTAGTCAAAAGCCTATGTGATTATCAAGTTGTAAGTGTTCAATTTTATTTCATTTCCTCTGTTTCTGCTAACATGCCCACAAAGCAAAGCACCTTGATCATTGTCAAAGGCTAACAACATTTCTTCTTGGCTTCAGCACAATCATAAAACTATGCAGGATGCTTTGGCTGAACACACTCAACAGCAGCAAAACAGTCAGCTCCTCGGAGAGGATCGCCATGGGAGACAGTACATACATTTCCCTCAATTTTGCTCAGCTCCAAGCTTGTGTACGTGTGTACGAGTGTACCGGTGTGTGATACCCACAGAAATGCACCGTTTTCCGGACTCGTCTGAAGATGTTTCGTTTGTAAATGTGAGGACTGGACGGGGAGATTTTTTACCAACCTGGCTGAGAGGTCGAGGAAGGGGCAAGGGGAAGAGCAGTAGAGGGAAGGTGAGTGACTGTTTAGTAATGAATGTATCAGCCTGTTTGTGCTAGTTGTGCATCGAGATAACATTGTTTTATCAACATTTAGGCGTCAAAGAAGAAAAAAGGAAATGATATCAATAATCGCAAGTTCTTATCTCGACTTGTGTATCGCATGCCTAATGGGATGCGCATCAGGGGGAGAAAAAAGAGAGGGCTTAATAGAGCCTCTTGTGGGGCCGCTCAACCCCTCCAACAGGAACAGAAATCTGATATGTCTCCGTCTGTGAAAGAACCTGTTGATGATAATCCAAGTGATCCAGAAGACAAATCTGTTTGTCCGGATGTACAGGAGCAGGGCAGAAGGGTTACAAGACAGACTCGGTCAAGAAGACATACATCTCAGGTGTGCTCTCAAGTCTGTTTGATAGATACAAATTATGTGCTTCTTCTTAAAATCCTCTTGTCTAAAAATGCCTTGTCTGCAGGGTTTTTATGGAGAATGGAGTGATAGTGAAAGTGCATCAACCCCATCACCGGGCAGTTCCGTTTCAAAAAAAGTACGTCAGTCAAAGAGAAAATGTGCATCAGTGTCAACAAATGATGAAAACTCTTCGAGCAACAGCCTCAAACTGGTATGGAAAGTTTCTGTCACATCAGTCTTCTTGTCTTGAGTATGTTGCTTATTAATAACATACTTGTATTCATATTTGCATGTGCAGAAGTTGATGGCGGGTAATGAGGCCAGCAGAGGTCCTGCTTCAAAACAAAGTGAAGAGTTAGGAAACAGTGAAGATGAAGACATTACCAAGTCTCCTGATGCCCATGAAGATGACTCCAGCAATGACTCTGGCTGTGGGGAAGAGGGAAGCAGGTGCGTAATTTTTACCTTTTGGCACATCCAATTATTCATTGGGTGGAGAGACAGATAAAATTAATTATTATTATACTTTTTTTATTTCAGTAGGGCTTGGACAATATCAGCACCCTCTGAAAAGATGATGGACTGTGGAGACGACTCCGAGGATGCAGATGTAGATGGAGATGAAGATGAAAAAGATGACAAAGATGACCAAAACTCAGTGAAAAAAGAAGAAAGCTTATTTAATTTGTCTGATGACCTTCCATGGATTCCAGCTGATGGTAAATCTGACAGTAAGTGTTGACTTGCTGTTTATTTTCTAGCCTTCTTCAAGACTTCATACTGTAAGAAAATACTGATGACATATTGATTATTAATATCCTTTCAGACAAGAACAAACAAAAAAGGCCACATTTTAATCCAGAGGGTATGCTTTTGGGGGCTGAACACTTTGAACTTGTTGCTGACTCTGTGCAAGGATAAGAGACCTCATTGACAGTCTTTGTGAGGAAGATGACAATGTAGGTCTGCTTCAGAGACTTAAAAAATCGGTAAGGTTTTGTTCCTCTCTCAGATAATTCCCTCTATTAAATAGATCTAAGAATCTCACTCATTTTTTGTCAAATTTCTTAGGTATCATCTACAAAACCTGTGTGTGAGGAAAAGTTGGCAAATAAACTTGAAGAATTAATTAATGAAGTTAGCTCTCTGGAAGTAAAGATGGAATCAAATGCCCAAAAATTAAGATGGAAACTCTATAAAGAATGGGATGACTTCCAGAAAAAGTAAGACCACTATTCTGCACATTAGGAACAAATAAATTCTAAGCATTTCTATATCTGGACTGCAAGGCTGAAGAATGTGGAGAATCATTTCTGGTCCAAGCCACCATGTGTCTGGAAACTAATCTATTTACCATTTCAGGCAAGATAATGTTAAAGATGAGGCTGAGACCTACTGGTTAAAAGTCCTTCAATCTGGAATGGACGCTGCTCCATCCGAAGTCAAAGTTGAGATAAAAGAAGAGAAATCTGAGAGCTTCATACCCAGTGAATCACATCAAATTGAAAAACATGAGAAGCAAGATCAGAGTTTAGATAATGTTGATGATGAAGAATCTCAGACAGGTCAGTGTCTTTTTCTTATGTACTGCATGGTGGTCTAAAGTGGCTTGCGTGACTTTCAGACCACCCTGTTAATCAATAGTTTCTTCAATTGATATGTTTTACCAAAATTTTATCTTACAGGGTATGACATTCGACATTCTTTAAGAGCAAAGAAACCTAAAGTTGATACTCCTCAGCATGTCTGGCTGAATAGTGACTCAGAGGATGAGTCAAGTGATGAAATGCAAGACGATGTTTGGGAAATGCCAGGAAGGAGGAGAAAAAAGAAGACTAATGGGGGTATGTCCCTGTACACCCTTAAATAAAATGATCACCTCTTAACTTCTTTGCTCTCTTTGTCACTTTGACTCTTGTGTATTCACATACAAACCTTATTTTTTCCAGGTCGGTCTCGAAGAAAAGAGGCTAAATCAGATGATGAAGGAGATAAAGCTGCTACCAAGAAGACAAATGACAAACCAGTTGGAGTCGCGAGGAATTTTTCATTTGAACCATGTAGTTCTGATAAGGAAGCTAGTCAAGACGAAGGAGGAAAAAATCCAGTTTCAATGGAAAGTGGCCAACAAAAATTGAATCAGAAGATGCTGCCAAATAAGCTTACTCTTGATAAGGAGGGTAACATGTTCATTACTTTAGGCTGTGGTACCAGAGTCCATCTGAAGAAAGATGAAGAAGGAAGAATAATGGTGCCTGAAGGGCATGAAGGATTGTCCATGATACAAGGGAAAACATTAGAGCAACTGGTTGGATCGGGTAAAGTTGTTCAAAATAAAAAACGGAAGCCTAAAAAAGCCCCACAAACCAGCAAGTCCAATGCATCTGATAAAGTACTCTACCCAGCAAAACGTTCGACAACTTTGTTCCCAGCAGTGGCCCCTGGTGATATTGTGCAGGCAAAGGAATGGATGCCTCCAGTTGGCCAAAACAATATTCCGCTCAAAAGTACAATTAAAGTGCAGGGAGTAACAAGCATTCAGGCTAAGGAATGGACACCTCCATTGGACAAGAAATTGTCCTCTGTTCCCATTTCTGCTTCTGGTGGAAGTGCAGCTCAGCCTCTGGTCAGAACATACGCAAAGCACAAAAATGCAACAGCAAAGCCAATGAATGTAAACAAAGTTACAATACAGCCTCAAATAAAAAAGAAAAGTGAACCTGCAGATGTTGTGGTTTTGAGTGATGGCAGTGATGACAGCATAGAAGTTTTAAATGAAACTGAGCCTAAAAGCTCAAAGACAAGGGTTGGACCAAGGATTGAGTCAGTGATAGGAAATGCGAATGTCAATTCATTTGCATCGAAACCTTTGACTAAGTCCGTCACCATGACTCCTGTCACTAAGCCAAGAGCGGGAACGCCCAAGAAAAATGCATGGAGCCCAGTGATCACGAACACTGTCAGCTTAGAGCCAGTACCCTCTTCAAGCAGAGTTCCCGCTCCTGGTGCGCCACAAGTTGTTATAACTCCAGCTAAGAATGTTCCAGCCAGGAGGAATCTACAACAGGCAGGTGCCCTCAACCAACAAAGGCCTAGTGAGAATTTTGTGACTGTCAGTGCAATTCCCATGCGACAACCACAGCCTCAGTTTGTTCCAATGAATCAGATGGTGTCTATTAACAATAGTTTCCAACCGGTAGCCCAAGTTGTGGGCATGAACAACCAGCAATACTTAGTGGCCAACGGCGCATACCCTCAGATGGGCAACCCCTACCTACTGAATGCTGCTCCCACATACCACTATGTTCCTGTCACTGCGGCACCCCCAGTGCCGTTGCCATTACCTGTTAGTGCATTTGATGTTGGTTTACCCCCAGGACTTACGGGCCAAATAGTTTTAGCAAATGGAGACAACAACCAGTTTTCGTATGCTTTTAAGCTGGATGATGGAGGTTTAATATTTCTCACCAATGAACAAGTCAGTAAGATAAGAGCTGCTAACGGAGGGAAGTTAACAACTATGGTGCAGTTCCAAACTCATTAGCATTTGTTCTTTATCTGAAATCTACTTAATTTTCAACATTATAGATTTGCTATAATTCTTGCTTGAACTCAAGCTTTCTGTGATCTCCCCTATGGAATTATGTCAGTTTTTTCTTTACTTTGAATGAGAAAAGACAGTGGTTTTGATTATGTGTATTGAATTTATGTGAAGGTTTTGCGATGTGAAAATGTGAATATGGGCATGACAAATTTACCAGTGTATCTTTCTGTGTTTTAAATGCTATATGATAATTTTTCTTTCCCTATTAATTTGGTATTTGTTAAAATGTATATTTGAATACTATATTTTTTGTTGATGTTGTTGTGGTATGATAGTTTTAACATCTGACATTTTTTTTCTTGAATTTATCATTTAATGCCCAAGAAGTTTGTTTTCATTTTAAAGCCACACCAATTTACAGCTCCAATACTTAGACTGAATTTTAAGTCACATCAAATTCATTTCTCAACTTTATGTGGGTAGATTACATGTAGAAGGCAAGGCAAAGAGAAATACTGGTACTTCCTTGCAGCTATACATTAGAATAAGAAATAGTAATAGTAAATTATATCTCTTAACTTTAATTGCCTTCTATGTAAATTTACCAACATAGAGATAGATAACATTATTATTGCTAATGCATATTTAGCAGATCAACAACAGACACAAAGGTTTTCAAATAAATAAACCAAAAGTATTACAGGGTGTTATTTCTCTATATTCCCCTACAATCGTCACATGTGACATGACATAGCATATTGTATCAGTATTTATTTCTTGAGAGGGATTAATATTAAAGCCCAATCAACTTATGAAACATCGCCTTTATAATACCAATAATTTCTTTTTACAACAAAATCACATCCTTACATTTTACAGTGAGCAGGTTCCAATGAACCCTCTATTAATCAACACCACACCAACACAAAACTACGATGTACCAATAAACTTGGTATGACTGCCTCTGGCAATAATTTCATCTGTGTCCTTCTTTTTAATGTCTACATGCAAATATGCCAAGGTCTTGCCAGCCTTTATTGTTGAAGCTTCTACCAATATTTCTTCCCCCACTCTTGCCGCTTTAAGATATCTGCAATTTTGAGAAAGAACATTTTCATTACATTCTCATTGTGTTGAGTGCTTAACGGAGGCAGGAATTCTGCTGAACTTACGAGACATGCAGATCAACTGTTACCCCGGGCGATTGAACCTTCTCATGAGTCAACATGCCCAGAGTAGAGACTATATCTACTAATGTTGCAGTCATGCCGCCATGTAAGGTTCCCCCATAATTTTGATGCTCTTCTTCCACCTTCATCTCCGCTACACATTTTCCATTACCACCTGATACAACTTTCAGCTGAAAAAAAATGAACAAAATGTGCTGAGACATGTCAAAATTTATTAACTCTAAATGCTAGATTAAGAGAACCTCTACCAATAATTTTAATACAGTAACCATAACACGAGTGGTTATAAGCTCGATATACAAAAATATCGTTTACCAGCCACTGAGACAAAGTCACTCAGAAAGGTGAATCGATACAGCACAAAAAGGCTGGTAAAATGCTTTATAATCATTAGTTGACGGATGGCATGCATCAAAGTAATAAAATGTTGCCTGTCAAAAATATAGTACCTTGCTCAACACTCTGTCAAAACCTTGAGAACTTATGCGCTTTGCCAACGTCTCTATTATTTGTCGACCACCCGCCATGTCACCAACGTAAAACTGGTTCTAGTTCAACTGAAAAAACAAGATGTCCTGCCTGACAAGCGCTTAAACACACCACCAAATTTTAAACAAATAACAGATTTAGCACTGAGACATCAACAGCTGATGTTTAAGTGGTTAGAATTTACAGCATGTGGTATTTCTCATACGTAGATGATACGGCATGAGAAATATCACCGGATACAGATTGGCGGTAAGTTCAAATGCGATTCATAAATTGGCCTTAACTTCACGTGGCCGTCAGCGCCTGTGAGGTAGGCCGCCGGCCCAGCCCACAAGACACCGGTGAATAGATGGTGGCCCACCTTGCCCCTGACGTTTTCACAGGGGCAAGGTGGGCCACCGTCTCTTCACCGGTGTGTTGCGCACGGGGTGGTCGCCTACCTCGCAGGCGCTGAAGGGTGGGAAACGTCGGTGACTGAGGAAAGGCGGTTGAATCAAGAAACACTTCGCGAAGCAACTTTTTGAAGCGGTAAAGAAGAGAAGCATCGAAAAACCCGCGACCTCGCGACCCGTCGAACCAAATATGTAGCGCCATTTGCACCGGACGCACATAGAGGGCCAGAAGACCGGTGGAGGCGGTCAAAATCCCGGACGCGTTTTGAGCTCCAGAGTCGCTAAATAGGATGCGAACCAAACGTGTGACCCCCACCAATGGATTGCTCTCCGGACGAGGAATTCGTAGGTGGGATCACACGTTCGATTCGAGTTCCCTTTAGCGACTCTGGAGCTCAAAAGGAGGCTAGAATTTTGACCGCCTCCACCGGTCTTCTGGCCCACTGTGTGACGCCGCGGCCGAGGCGCGGTGTATCAACCAACAACTGTTAGGGGCGATTGTCAGTTCGCAGTCGCAGCGCTACTCCATGTCTCCGAGCAGGGGATAGCGCCGAGGGTCACGGCCATGCCGCGCCACCGCCGCCGCCGCAGACTGATTCCGAGAGTCGTTTTCGTCGCTTTGTCTCTCTCGCACCCCTCACACCTACTCCTACAGGGGACGCCCCATGAGTGCGAGAGAGGCAGAGCGGCGGGAACGACTCTCAGAATCCGGGGATGTCGTCGCAAGGAACAAGGTTCGTTTATTTCCTCCGACGAGTTTGGTTAGTGCAAGACTCATAGACTAAATTGTAATTAAGGCAACAAGAACAAACAAATAACTTTCATGGAGGTCTGACTGGTCGGGATCTGGCTATTCTGCAAACACACTGCAAACCTAACTGTCCACTAACACACTTACAAATGCATGCTTGCAAGTACACACTTACAAACACATGCTTGACATGCTTGACGCATGGAGTTCTACGGCATCAAGCATGCGTTTGTAAGTGTGTACTTGCAAGCATGCATTTGTAAGTGTGTACTTGGCCAAGCATGCGTTTGTAAGTGTGTACTTGCAAGCATGTATTTGTAAGTGTGTACTTAGTAGACAGTTAGGTTTGTAGTGCAATGTGGGAAGCGGATAGTGTCAACAAAACAGATTTTAAACGACGTCACTGATGAAACCCGGACGAAGATTGTTGTCATGACTGCGATCACTGCGGTTTTCGGCATATCAGTCGGGCCAGCTTGAGATGGTCTGGTCGATGAATTGAAAGGCGGAACTCTCGCCTTATCGAAGAGGCGGAACTCTCGCCTTATCGAAGAGCCGCAACTCCGCCCGGCTGCAACCAGCTGCGGACTGATTCCGAGAGCCGTTTTCGTCGCTCTGTCTCTCTCGCATCGAAAGGGGACGCCCAATGAGCGGGAGAGCGACAGAGCGACGAAGACGACTCTCGGAGTCAGCAAGCTGCAGCGCAGCGACCACTCCACTGCCGATGATTCATCTCGCTGCTTTCTTCTCGTCGACAAACAGCGCGCCGTGTCGCGCGCTTTTTCTAGTGGGCCTCGCCGGTCGCGGCAGGGCCTCGCCCCCGGGGGCGAAATAACCCGCAGACGGACAAAGATGAATGGAAATAATAAACTTGCATCGCTCTGTCAGATAAAATCACGCGGTAATAAAAAGAGCTTCGTGTGTTTCTGTTCCGCGCTCCCCTTATCATCGAGTCGCGTCGGATAAAAAATTGCTCGAAATTGCGCGCCGGTCCCGCCATTTTGCCATTACCTTACCGCCGGCCGCCGAAAGGCCCGAAAGGCCCGAAAGGCGCGACAAGAAATAATGGCAGGCGGAGAAAATCCATATCCAGTATAGTGCGCCGCGGTGCGCCGTGTTGTTGGACGCGGTGCCCCGACAGTGTGCCGACAGGTGGAGCGAGTGCCCCCTGGCAACCCACCAAAGAGTGCATGGAGTATGGAGTGCACAGTGCACGCCACACTGGTGAGCCCGCGAACCGCAGACCTCCTAGTTTATTCCGAAAGTGATTTAAAGCCCCACGTATGTCATGGGACAAAAGGTCGTGCCAAGTTTTCACGAATCACGTACTTACAGTGGCAAGCACGGAACGGAGCGCTGGTGTTGCGACAGGCGCGGATCCGGGAGGGAGGGGGGGTGTTGCCCCTCCCCCTTTCCCCGTGAGGGTGGTGAATCCACCTGAAAGGTAGGCAACAAGGTTCACGTTGCTCCTGCTCTACAAACTAAAGTGTGTACTCAGTATGCATCTACAGATGCATACTGCATACTCAGCTGAGTACACGCCTACAGATGCATACTCAGCTGAGTACACATCTGCAGATGCATACTTGGAGAGGTTGGGTATGCATCTGTAGGTGTGTACTCAGCCAAGTATGCATCTGCACTGGTGAAACAAAGGCATAAAAATTATGCCCTTTAAGTGCGTAAACGATTTACGCCCTTAAAGGGCATAAATCGTTAATGCCTTTGGGAAGGGCATTAAAATTTTGCTTGAAATTCCTATACCATTTACGCCCTTCCCAAGGGCATAAAACGATTTATGCCCTTGCAAGGGCGTAAAAGAGTATTTATGCCCTTGCAAGGGCGTAAAAGAGTATTTATGCCCTAAAGGGCGTAATTTTTATGCCTTTGTTTTACCAGTGTGTAGACGTGTACATAGCTGAGTATGCATGTGTAGATGTGTACTCAGCTAAGTATTCATCTGTAGGTGCGTACTTGCAAGTATGCACCTGTAGATGCATACTGAGTACACACTTCAGTTTGTAGAGTGTAGTGGGGCAACTTTTGCGCCCCCCCCCCTAAACTCACCTCTGGATACGTTCTCCTTAGGTTGCGCGGGACGTGGCGGGACGTGAGACGTCTTCTCGACTCGGGTTCGAAACCGAAGCAATCTACTATCCGTTCTCTGAAAGCCGTCTCCGGCAGCCTGCAGCGGCTGTAAAGCTGGATTTGGTCTCCCGTTTTGGCGAACGACAGATGAGCATCGAAGGTGCCCTCCGCCCCCCCCCCTTTCCCCCTCACCTTGTCTGAGACGGATGGTCTTTCGTCGGCCACAAAACCCGACTCTCAATACACGGCACAGAGCACGCGGGGTGCGTGCGTGAAGACCCGCGTGTGAATACGGCCAAGAAAACGAAGGAAGAACAAAAGAAGCGTCACAATCGAGTTTGGTTCAACTTTATTTATTTTTGTAACAACATAACATAAGTAAGAGAGAGCGGGCAACCCCCTCGAGTGTCTCTTTTTCGTATAACAGGGGAATACAGTGTCGCGTGAGACGGAGGAGCGCTTGACACATCCATCTTCGGGAGAGGCGCGCCAGCACCCCGTTGTGCCGTCCTAGGACGATCTCTCTCTCTCTCTCTCTCTCTCTCTCTCTCTTCTCCCTCTCGCTCTCTCTCTCTCTCTTTCTCCCTCTCGCTCTCTCTCTCTCTCTCTCTCTCTCTCTCTCTCCCTCTCGCTCTCGCTCTCCCTCTCGCTCTCTCTCGTTCTCGCTCTCTCTCGCTCTCACTCTCACTCACACACACACACGCTCACACACACGCACGAGGGCGGTACAGTAGCCCGTTGGATATCACAGATCAGAGGTAAAGGTGGTTCGGTGCTGCGGTGCCCCGACCACCACTGTATGTACGGACTGTCGTTTTAACGGGAAAGCTGCGGCTTGGGGCTCGAATCTGCTTGAATCGAGCGGCAGTGCGCACGGCATGCCGCGGCAGTCGGCAGTGCAACGACATTCCTATGAAACACCAATTCGTCAACGCGGAAGGTCGTCTGCGGTGTGCACCAGGGCGTGTGCACCGTGCCCACCATCTGGAGCGGGACGGGCAAGCCTGGGGCAAGCGCGGATCCAGGGGGTGGAGGAGGGGGGGCAATCCCCCTCCCATTGATGCCTCCGCCGCCGCCTGAGAGGTAGGCAAAAAGAACACTCCGACTCTGCTAGGCAAAAAGTGCTACGTTGCCCCCTTCAGGCCGGCTCTGGATCCGCCACTGGGGCGGGGCGCGGCAGCAGTCCTTAGCGACCAGCGCCGTACTCGGTGACGGGGGGCGCCAGGCCCGCGGGGGGCGCGGACACGGCCAGGGACTCGGGGGTGAAGACGACGGACGAGGGCACGCCGGAGTCCGCGGAGGCCCCCGAGACGCCGGCGACGAAGTTGGCGGGGGCGATGGCGGGGGAGAGTCCGGCCAGCAGGGCGGCCTTCTCGTCCACGATGGAGCGCGCGATGTTGTTGACGGCCTCGCCGGCGAAGGCCACCGTCCTGGCCACGTGGTTGGCCACGGCGCCGACGTGGTTGGCCACGGCGCCCACCTTGTCGGTGAAGTGCTGCACGACGGCGCGGCCCACGCCGGGGAAGGGCACCACCGGGATGGCGTGCACGCCGGGCGTGAGGGCGCGGAAGGCGGGCACGGGGACCGCCACGGGGACGAACTGCACGGCGGGGGCGGCGGCGACGACCTGCACGGGGGCGGCGGCGCGGATCAGGGGGGCGGGGGCGGCGGCGACGGCGGGGGTGCCGTACGACTGCGAGGGGGCGGCGGGGGCGTAGCCGGCGGCCGCCAGGGCCACGCAGGACAGCAGGACGATGGCGGTCTGCGGAAAGCGAGGGTGTGAGTGACGGTCCCCGAGGACAACATTGTGTACTACCGTGTGCAAAAGAATCCGACCGTCACTACTCCACGCGTCAGAGTGATAACTCCTCGGGTTGCAAGGGTCGCCAACTAGGCCGAGCCGGTGTCCGAACAGGGAAAAGGGGCTGGGCGCGTCAAAAGAGAATGTAGATTCCGTAAGACTCCTAGCTGGATAGG